AGGACTATACTACGTCGCAAAAGGAGATGCTTGATGTTGCCGAGAGGCTTTCTGGCAAGACCTGGCCCGTCCAGCATATTGACGGGGAGGAGAAGCTCAAGGATGGGCTTGCTATGTTCAGAAGGGCTGAGGCGGAAGGTACTACGCCGCCCATCTTTGCTACATTTCTTGTGATTCATAATACTATCTTTGGCGGAAAGTATAATACCGCTTGGGATGGTAAGGGGAACAAGTTTCTCGAGTTGCCCATCATGCCGAAGGAGGAGTTTGAGGAACTGATTGCGACGAGAGTCCGGAATGAGCCTATTGACGGCGGGCTGCCCTGGAACTCGGCCCCGAAGCCTAGAAACGCGGCCTAGGGTGGCCAATGTTAGATTCTTCTTGCACAGCACTCAGATAGCAAATTGGAAACCCCATTCACAAGTTAGTCGACAACTCTTGAAAAACGAATTTCCAGTGTATTTCAACACGATATGTTTTGTAAAGGAGGGTTCAGCTATATAATCGGCTCCAGGTGCCGAATCACGATTTGAGGCTACTCAGACAGCGAATTGGGAGCACGAGTAATGGTCCACTCTAACGCGTGGTAGCAACAACAATTAGTTATTCGTCCCGTTCGCGTAGGTGAGTCGAGCAAAAGGGAAAAGCAGGTACTGAAGAGTTAGAATCTCGATAGCTACATGTAGTAGCTCAAATGACTAAAGTAAGGCGAAATAAACGTACAAAAGAACTAGAAATCTCTGATAAATGCTACTTCAAGTCCAAGGACGGCGGCTGGAAGCCATTCCACTCCTGATAAGTCATCGGAACATGGGGGAACTCATCAATGCCGTCCAGTATAACTACACCCATCCCACCAGCGTGGTGAGTCTGCACGTGGCAATGCAAAAGCCAGGCCCCGGGACTCTCGACCTTGTACCTCACGACAGTCCACACAGCAGGTGCATCGCCGGCGATATCAGGCGTCGTGAAGGTATCCTGGTACGACGGATTCTCAAAATTGAATGCCCCGGGTGGTAGATCCCGCTCCGCTTCCTCAACCGTGGCCCAGGGAAACTTGCCGACCCCCGAGCCAAGGAAATAGACCTTGTTGCCGTGCTTATGAACGGGGTGGCTCTGCGCAAAGGGGCCTTCGGTCTCCAAGATGATATCAATCCACTCTCCGACCTGGGTGCGGAGGACGAGCTCGCTCTGTGGCACCTCGTCGGGTTGTCTGAAGAGAAATGGGGGGTCTCGTTCCTCGGCTGTCATGTTGTAGACTTCGTAGCCTGATAGACTCCATTCATATGCCCCGTAAGGGCGGCCCGGTTTCCTCAGAAACAGCTTGAATGTGCGATCCGGGCTGCGAGCGGGCTGTTGGGATGGAAATGGGCGGCCCTCTTCGGGCTTGAAAGAGCGAATGTTTTTGATTAGAGGCTGTCCTGCGTAATTCATCTTGGGTTGGGGGTTCTTTGGCTGCTCTGTCGCTCCTTTGTACGCCAACTCAGCAAAGCCTCCAAGAATCTGATTGAGAAGGTCGTTGGCCATCCTGATCATGTATCGCGCTGGCTCCTGGTCCAGTTTCACGAGGACCGAAATCCGATTGCCATTGCCAACGTAAACACGGTCTGTGATGACAGGCTTGATGTATTGTCCATCGACAGCATACACATGGAGATCATGGTTATCGATAGACACCTGTAGGGGATACAGTCCTCCAACGTTCATCAAGGTGAGGGCCACCCAGCCTTCCCTGCTGTCGACATTGACAGTGAAATTTCCCTTGAGATTTCTGCCACCGACGCATTTTCGGATTGACTCGGCGGGTAGTTTGCCTAGATGCACGTCATAGTCACCTTGGAGTGCCTGGATCGGAGGCACGCAGCCCTTCGCTGTCATGTGGTCTTCGCCGAGATCCTGCAGCATCTTGAGGATGATAGGGTTCGTCATGCTGTCCAAGGATTCCGGATCAAGACAGTACTGAGATCCAATGCCATTGACAATGATTGCATCCGTGCAGGCGAGATCGAAGTTGGCAATCTCCTCGATATGATAAAAGTCATCAAACTTATACTGACTCCAGTCGGCGAGTAATAACGGCTGCATGTTCTGCTCAGCTCTCCGCATCGCCTCTCGAGCTCTAAGACTCTCATCGATGAGGTGGAAAGGTCTGTCAACTTCCGGGAGCGCATCGACGATGACTGCTCCGTAGAGCCCATCCATTAGCTGGCCTTTTGAGTGAGCGTGGTAGAAGAACGTCCCCGACTGCTCTGCGGTCCAATGGTAGCGGTACGAGGCACCAGGATGGATTTGACCCTGAGTGAGACCCGGTACGCCATCACTCCAGGGCGTCTTGCGTTGGTCGATACCGTGAAAGTGTATGGTTGTGTCTTCCTGAAGATAGTTGCGGACTATGACCTCAACCTCATCACCTTGCTTTAGGTGTAAAGTAGGGCCGGTGAAGCTATTGTTCACGAGGATAGCAGCTCGTGGACCAGCACCGAGAGCGTCCACTTGGCCTGCTGTAAGATGGAGCTCAAAGCGCAAGGTACGCTGTACTGACTGCTGGATGTTGGACGTCCCAGCGTCCAGCGATGTTGCCGAGGACCAGCTGGATAACGGCCAAGGCAGAAGGTAAGAAAGAAGATGAACAGGGTGCATTGTGATACTGATGTCACAAAACTTGATAGATCCAGTGGCACATGAAATATGATGAGTGTGTAAGCGTCTTCGATCAGAATAGAATAGATCAGACCATGAAGCAGGTGGGAGCTGGTGTAAGTTGGAGGCTTGGGCGTAGGAGGGAATGAAGCTTGGTCGATACCATCCCACAGGGAAAGCACATGTGTTAGGCACGCTGAAACTTGCCGAACAGTTGCAGCGAAGATGGCCCGGCGGGAATCGAAGACCGGCCGGTGCTGAGTCGAGTATCATAACCCCGAGCCTCCCCACGACCACCACATTTCAGACAATAATTCAACAATCGTCTGCACACGTTTCCCTTCAGTAGCACGCGGCTTGTCAACTTCAGTCCGTTATCTTATTCTGACTTCATTTTCATCTTCTCGCTGCAGGAAATGCGGCTCTTACTCATAGCTCCTGCAGCAGTGCTGCTGGGCATTGCATCTGCCAAATCCCTAAGCCAAGCTCTGATCAGCCATGGGTCACTATCGATGCTCCATGATCTCTTGAAAGACCTGAATTTGCTGGAAAGGTTCCAGATGGCCGAAAGGTCGACGTTTCTGGCGATGACGGATGACGCGCTCGTTGGTCTCGCCAAATGGGGTTTGAACATGAGCACCATCGACTCAGCACTAGCTAGAGCCATTCTCGAGTACCACTTTCTTGAGGGAGTCTTCACGTCGTCAGATCCTTCACTAGAGACAGACGTCCAGCTGGCTCACTCTGTCTTGCGCCCACCAATTTTGACAAACGTCACAGATGGCCCGATGGTAAAGCTCTCCGTCATAGATGGCTCATTATGCGCAGAATCTGGCATCCAAAAGGTTATGCGCATCAATGAGGCGGACATTGCCCACGACAATGGCGTTCTACATACCATCGACAGCAACCTCGTGTTGCCGCACAACCTTTCAGAAACCACCAATCTGGGCAACCTTCACAAGTTCTGGGACTTGGTTGAAAGATCAAACACCAGGGAGATTCTGGAGGCCATGAAGGACGCAACTGTGTTTCTGCCCGATGACGACGCAGTACGACAGTGGAGCTGTGCGTTGGGGTCTCTTACACCGAAGCAGCTGGCAACGGTAGTCGCAAGTCATGCCATTCCCGACCGAGTTCTTTATCATAGCGCATTCTCTGCTGAAGGGAACGAGTACGAGACTTTGAGTGGGATGAAAGTCATCGTCAGTCGTGACTCTCGTGGCAACATCTTCGTTAACGAAGCAAAGGTCCTCAAGCAGGATGTGCTCATCTTCGGCGGCGTCGCCCACATCCTCGATGGGGTCTTGATTCCCTCGGGGCACAGAGGTAAGTTCCAAGTTAAGTCCAAGTTATTTGAGCCTTGTGGGTTAACTTCGTTTTATAGATTCAGCCTGCCAATCGCTGTTCAATAAGAATCGGGCCTACACGGCTTTGCATTCGACTTCGTGGAAGGTCATGGCAAAGACATTTGTCGTGGCCACAAGCGCCTTCTCACTGACCGTTCTTGCATTTCTCACGGTAAGGAATCGAAGAAGCAGGAGACAGTTGGTTTCCTCGGCGTGGACAACAGCAAGCTGGGAGACACACCTGCGAAGCATCACCAATGAGAAATGTCAAGACTTGTAGAATTAAGTGAACGGAATACAGTTTTATTGTTTGGACAATTATCGCGATTTTCGTCAATGGTGTTGTGGTGACCATGTAATAAGTACCAATTAACGCCTGTTTAATGGCCCTTCCAACTGCTGTTGCTCCACTCCAGCATTTGACCTTGGAAAGTATCGCACCACAGCTCATAGTTGATTAAGCCACCTAACGTGCTTAGGTGCTAATCTGGTTACATGCTCTCAGGGTCCTGCAGGCTTTGAAAAGCCATAATCCGTATGGATAATCATGTCGTAATCGATTCCAACCGGCTTGGCTGGGCCACAAGGTACCAGAGGCCGTCAAGTTACTGACTCACTTTGCCGACGGATGCCCCGATTGCGACTGGGTTTCGGGGATCGATTGCCGCACCCAACACAACTAACCCTCTCGCAGAATTCAGTCTATTCAAATACAATTGCTAATAGGTGGTCCCTCCATGCTTTTCAATGGCTGCATTTCGCTCGGGAAAATCGTTGAAACGGTACAGAGAAATCCCAGGCCTCATCCCAATGGTATGGTAAAATCAGCGCGCCAGTTCAACGGGGTTAATTACACATTCCCGAGAACGATCGGGAAGCATCCAGAAATGAAGTAGAGCAAACCCCGAGCTATGTGTGCAACGGCTTTTGTGGCCAGCCCCTAGCAAAGAAAATAACGCTCATTGGAACCTCTTAATTGCGTGATCCGGCTTCCACGGTAACTGGTGTTTGAGGTGTAACACGACGGACGGGCTTCAGCGGTCGGGCTGTTCCTCTACGATCTGAGCGATGGTTACCGTGTCCCCGTGAACTCTGCCCCTGTAATAAAGCAGAGCGGCATAGGGCCCTTCGCCTGCAGAACGAGATTACTGTCAAATCCCCCCAAGACCTCCAAGAACATTCTCAGTGATTCAGGTGGGTGTTCTCAATCATTTGCTAAAGTGAGGTCCGGATTTCGATATCTACGATCTCTGGACAAGTTGTAACTTACTCTATTTCCGTTCACCATTCTCTCTTCAAAGTCAATTCTTCCATTCTTTCCTCTTGGATATATCTTAAATCTCTGCGCCATTCAGCCCAGTGCAAGGTTTACATCCACCATGGCGCCGCCAGCAGACGAAAGTCCAGCAGAAGTCACTTACGCAGATGAGCCACTGTCCCTCGACGAGCAAGTCATCGCCAAGATTCAAGGCGGTGACTTCATCGTCGACTGGCTCGGCCCAGATGACAAGGGTTGTCCTCAGAACCTGCCCACACCTCGCAAATGGCTCATCACGCTGGTGCTGGCGCTGTACGTGCTATCGACGACCTTTTCGTCATCCGTTTTCAGCGCAGCTGCTGGCGTAACTGCCGCTGAGTATAATACCACGGTGCAGAACATGGTCTTTGGCGGTACTTCGCTCTTCATGCTTGGGTTTGCCGTCGGTCCCATCATCTTCGGGTAGGAGAGCCTTTCCCCCGCATGCCTCTTCGATGAACTGTGAAAGTGCCTGAGCTAACGACTTACACCCTACGATACAGGCCTCTTTCAGAGCGCTATGGGAGAAAGCGCCCTTTGATGGTTGGCTACGTGACCTTTGCGCTCCTCCAGCTGCCGGCAGCCAGTGCCCAAAGCCTCTACACAATATTCGTCTTCCGGTTCTTGCAGGGTGTCTTCGGCGCCGCACCGTCCGCTATCCTCAGCGGCACACTCGCCGATATCTGGACCCCGAAGCAGCGGGGCTTCGCCATGCCCTGCACGGGAACTTTTCTCATGATCGGGCCCGTCCTCGGCCCTATGATCGGCTCAGTCATTGTCAAGAGTCCGCTCCTGGGATGGCGGTGGATTTTCAACATCACGGCCATCTTTACGCTGACCGTCGCCGTGGTCACATATCCAGCTTTGGCCGAGACGTATTCCCCGATCCTCTTAGAAAGACGGGCAAAGCGAATGCGCCATATGACGCGCAACTGGGCTCTGCGGGCCAAGTCTGAAGAACAGGAGAGCAATCTCAATGACATTGTCGAGAAGTGCCTCTCGCGTCCAGCCAAGATGCTGTTTTTGGAGCCCATCCTCTTGTTGATGTCCACTTACATCTCCGTCGTCTTCGGTACGGTACCAGCTCACATACGCTTGCAATGAACTATTGACTAAAGACATCCTAGGACTCATGTACGTCTTTTTTCTCGCCTACCCAATGTCTTTTGAACGCGAGCGCCATTGGGACTCCACCTCTGCCGGCCTCCCGCTCCTTTCCATCTTGCTGGGCACGATCCTCGGCGGCGCACTCATCATCGCGACAGTCAACACCAAGTTGTCGCCGGATCCGAAGGCTGGCCGCCCGCAGGAGAACAGGCTGTTGCTGATGATGATTGGGACAGTCTGTCTGCCCGTCGGCATGTTCTGGTTCGCGGCGACGAGCTCGCCGTCCACGGATCCCTGGCCGCAGATCGTTGCCGGCGTGCCTATCGGTGTTGGCATTATCTTGGTCAACATGCAGGGCATGAATTACATTGTCGACTGCTATGGAATCAACTCCAACTCGGCGATCGCGGCTAACACCTTCATGCGATCGCTTTTCGCGTCTGGGTTCCCGGTGTTTGCGTGAGTCATCTACTCCTATCTTAGGTTAGCCCTGACGTATTGCTGCCCTCTTTACTAACTCCAAGAAGTACTTCCATGTACACTTCGATTGGTGTCGCCCGTGCCACTTCGCTGTTGGCTTTGTTTGGTGTAGTTTTGGCTCCCATCCCATTCCTTTTCTATCACTATGGAGACAAGATTCGAGCTCGTAGCAAGTGGTCTCCTTCATACGGTAGATGAGGCTATAAGATCATGAAACAAAACAGGTACTGAATTGGATACTCTGGCAGACCTGAAGTCAGAGGAGACAACGATAGTCGGTAGATAGTTCTAGTAGACGCTCTGCTTGTGGGACGCTTGTGAGGGTGCCTTGAGGTGCGTCGAGGTGGATTAGATTGGACTCCAGGACTGGATCATCATACGTGTATCAAATAGTCTTCACTGCTGAGTTGGGAACCATAGGTTGAGAACATCACACACCATACTGGATAACTTCGCGTGTATTCGTATCAGCTGAGCTATTCCCTCAAGTTCCATTTTCCACGCGTCTCACTCTTTTAAATGCTCAAAGGCTTGATTCCAACTACTCGAGGTTTCAAAGATCGAATAGAAAGATCGAGTTGAACAATAGGTAGTTGGCATATATCACCTTCTTGTGTAAATCGACGCTAGAAGAAAATCGGCAATTCCATTTTACTCGGTACGAATCTTGTAGTTAATCAACAGCTTCATTACCAACAAGAGATTTACTGACGAGAGGAAATCAATGAAGCTCGGGAAGAAACTTTGATTCAACTAGCTAAACTCAATCATATGCTACAATCTACTCTCGTCCGTATACGGTGGCTGTCCTGCCCTAATGGCATCTACTCGCAGCTCTGATCCTCCCAGAAAAGGAAGAATCGAGTCTCGATGCTCCGTCTCGCGGGACCAATATCATCAGGAGTAGGAAAAGCGCTGTGCGGAGTGCGCCTAGCCCTACCATCCTTTTTGGAGTCAAAGATCTTGATGAGAATAACATTGTCTCGTGTCATACCGCCCCGGAACCACCACTTGTGCTGGTCAGGCGTCTCGGGCGGCGCAATCTGCCACATGTGGTTTTCGGTAGGCTTGTGAGGCCACCGGAAGGGAACGCAATGCATGGTATCGTGCAGCTCGTCGTCACGAACAGACCTGGCGTCGCACAGGGCCAGAGGCTCGCGATGGACCTCGTCCATGGGTCTCCAGAGGTTGACGATGGCCCAACGGTGCTTGCCGTCGTGCTTGGCGCCTTCTCCGGGAGGAAGGTCGTCGTAGAGGCGGCGCTTGGCACCGAGATCCGACTGATCGATGTGAACGAAGCGGGCAGAGAGCAGGCCGCCGTCGGTCATGGCCATGTCTGGCTTGTCCTTGTCCTCTTCAGGGTCGGCACTCTCCCACTGACGTTGGCGGATGATGTGGGAGATAACGCGGACGTCGCTCGCTCCAGTCCTGAATGTGTAGGTCAGTAAAAGTTGAGAGCTATGTCTTTCTAAGAGACGCTTACAGCTTTCTCATAAACTCCTCACACTCGGCATTGTAGATCTTGTTGAGCTTCTCGTCAATGGGACTCCACGGAAAGTCTTTGTATGAAGTAGGGAAATGTTCGAATTGGAATCCAGTCTTGTCCAGACTGAACTCGGACTCCTTGCCACGAGCGTTGTAGATCTTGACCGGTCGCGGGTCATATTTCCGGCGCATCTGGGCAAAGGTGCCGCCCCAGATCATTTCGTCGCCGCCCTTGGTAGGGCAGAGACGATAGTTAAGGGTGGCATCGTAAGACTCCTTGTTCAGGTTGTAGACGCCAGCGAGCTTTGCGCGCTCCTCGCTATCCTTTTCCGCAAGCTCGGTAGCGGTGTACTCGATCTTGTCGCCCGAGACTTTGAGCTTTCTCTTGACCTCGGTGTCGAGGAAGGCCAGCTCGTCCTTTGTGGCGTAGTTCAGTTCAAGAGTAGGCATGATGGTCAAGTTGTTATTGGTGCAGGCTTATGAGCTTGACTGTTGAAATGGTGTAAACGTCCGACAAACACCTGCACGAGCCGACCTTTAATATCCAACGCTTCGGTGTGCATCGGAGGTAGCAGCAGGCCTTCCAAGCTTCATATCGATCACGGCGTTCTTGTCACCGATGCACCAAGTGCCGGGCTATGCTCCCTGGTTTTTGCGGTGATTGAGTTCCCGATCGCTGTGCACGGGGCCTAAGTTTCGATGAAAGGTGTTGCCGGTGGATGGAGGCAAGTGCCCTTTACGAAACCATGATCTTGTACATACACGAGTGGCCCAGATCCGGGTACCCTGAGGATGAGACGAAGATCGCGATGTAAAAAGAGCTCACTTGGCTGTCTAATAGCCCTGTCCAAAGGGTCTAAACTTGTGTGTTCCGAGGCCACGGCGTGGCGGACCGCAGTAAGGAGCTTCACTCGACCTGCCTAGAGCCACAGATCGGGTGGGATCTGCCGCTATAGGTAGGCTTTATGGTCACTTCTTGTAGGTGGGCATGCGACGTCTTGCTTAGAATCCTGCGAGCGTGCTGTGGATCTTTCAATCGATGTATAGGCATACTATCGAGATTACTCTTAGCTAGTGGCCTAGGACTTGGATCCGATGCCTTTGCCCGTTCAGAGAATGTTGAGTTGTTAATTTTGCTCAAGAGCGTCAGCGAGGTTGAAGAGTCGTTAAGTGTCCGGAATTGCCATGAAGACACTTTGAGATAGCTTCTTACATACCTGCATTGAGAAGAGCGCAAATCAGGAAGACACGAATTTTGACACATGCACGAAAAAATGCTTCTTTTGCTTCTGGGAAGAAATATCTCATGATCATTTGGACTAATTGGGAAAACTAAGTAACGGGTCTACTCCAATAATTTCTCGACCAATCTGCTAGAATGTGTAGTGCTCTGCCCATCCCACAACACAGCTAAATCGAGTGTCAGCAACTGTCAACACCGAGTAACAACATTCGACTTACCGACTCCGGCTCATATCAGCGAAATTAAAATGGTCAGGTATGAATTTACCCAAAAAGTCAGGGTCGTCGCGCATTTTCTCTATGCACCCAATGTCGGGTACGATTATTGAGATGACCGAATCGTAATCCAATAGCATGGCGCTAGGTGCGTCGGGGAACAGCTTCTTGAAGTCTGCTTTGGCGGAGTTATCGTTGTGGGTCTATTGACGATGCTCTTCAGTCAGACAATCCGTTCTGCGGATAAGGCCGCCACATGAACACAGAATGTTCAACATACCACAGTGTAGGATACAGCTCCATATTTTTCGAGAAGTGGTTTGATAATTGGAGTATTCACGCTTTCAATATGATTGTGGTGGCTCTGCTCATCTTGGTCCGCTTTCTTATAGACGTAGATGCTGTAGGCAAAGTTGCGCTTTGGCTGTTCGAGGGAGCCCATGCTGTCTGATTTGGAGGTTTAGTTGCCGGAATGAGAGAGAATCAGGGATCCAGACCGCTTCTCCCAATCCACAGGCTTCGTGCGGGGAGGGGAACCGTCACCTTTTAGGTGTCTGCAGTGCTCATTCTAACCTTGCGCTCTCCCTTCCCGCGTTCTGCCCCAAGCTCAAAGCTCAGCTGTAGGTTACACATGCATCCTTCAGCAACATGGCTGTTGTGCGCCCCAAGCGCCGAGTCGGGCACTGCGAGAGTTCACAGGTCCCCGACCCGGCCACCGCGGGCGGGAAAACCGTTCACAGAGCTCTGAACTGCTGAATCGTTCACCTACCGATAATCTCAGCTTTGCAAGCGGCAAAAGCCCCGATCCTGCGTGTGCTTTGGGTTATTACAGTTCAGAGTGCAACTTATGTGATTGCCGGCTTACTTGGATCAGGGAGATGTTCACCGAAACAACCATGTATCTCATTTGCTTTTTACTTGGACATGATATAAATGCCAACCTTCCTTGACTCCTATTGCGTATGTTTATCACCCAACTTTTCAGTCAACACATAGGCCAGACAATCGTCTATCGTTCACTGCAGCACCAGCACTTGCTTCCTCCACTTTTTACATATCTCACCTTCACAACTCTTCACTATGGCTGACCGTAAGATCGTTCTCATCACTGGAGCCAACAAGGGCCTCGGATACCAAGCAGTGAAGACCTTGCTTGGGTCCAAGCAAAAGTACCACGTCTTCTTGGGTAGCCGTGATTTTGCCAAGGGAAAGGCCGCTGCTGAGACAGCTGCGGCTGAGGTCAAGTCTCACAGCACCGTCGAGCCACTTCAGCTCGATGTCGAAAGCGACGACTCCATCAGAGAGGCCTACGAGACTGTCGCGAGCAAGGTTGACAGGATTGATGCACTTGTCAACAACGCCGGTATGCACCTCCTGCTGCTCTTTAATAATTGTATTCTGTAACCTTTGACTGACTCTTTTACCTTGTTCAGGCGTCATGCTGGATCAACAGATCGAACGTGGCAACATGACAGTCCGCGAGGCCTACAATAAGTCCTGGGACATCAACGTCACTGGCCCCCACATCATCGCAGACACGTTTCTCCCCCTCTTGCTCAAGTCTTCCGACCCTCGGCTCATCTTTAACACCAGCGGTGTGTCCTCGCTGGAAAACGCGGCGGACTCCTCTCATTTCACCTACAGGGTCCCGCCAGCCGGGACCCCCAAGCCTGTCGGGACCATCTCGTACAGAGCAGCCAAGGTCGGCCTCAACATGGTCATGCTTGAGTGGGTGCGTATGTTGAAGAACGACGGCGTCAAGGTCTGGTGCGTTGCTCCTGGCTTCTTCGCCACTGATATTGGCGAGGGTGACCCGGAGTCTATGAAGAAGATGGGTGCCGGAGACCCTTCGGCTGGTGGCAAGGCACTTGTTGATGTTGTTGAAGGAAAGAGAGATGCCGATGTTGGAAAGGTGGTGAACATGGCGGTTTACGGCACGCCTGTGCAGCCTTGGTAGTTGAGATGACTGAAAGTTCATCGAAACAGAACTTGGAATCTTCTGGCTACAGTGATTTTAACGACGGATCTTGTGAAATAGCTTCATCTCTACTCTTATCATGGCGGATCTGCCAGCTTTTAAGCCTTTTACAAACATTAATGCTTTCTAAAAGAACCAAACCTGTAATGTCAGTTGCCTTGGGCAATTGCCTCAGAGAAGTGACTTCAAAAACAATACGATGCAATCAGATAATATAGTATTTCCGCCCCTGATGCAGTTTAGATCGAAAAGCCGACATTTCAGTATTAGTTAACAGTCAATCCGGTCCATCATACATCTGTCTTCGTGAGATGAGGACTTGTTTCATAAGATAAGGACTGACCGGATCTCAAAATTCTTAACCCATCGTAGAATCTTTGTTTCGACCCCGTTGTTGAATTGGCTCCGCGTCTGGGTCATTTACGGCCGTTGTCTTGTATCTAAGGTAACACTGGTAGTTCGATTTCCCTTCGGTTTTTTCAATTTGCCTATTTCGCTGGCTACATCAAGTATAGAGATGATCTCAGAACAATGCTAGTCTTCTCTACTCCAATTCCTGGTCCTCCCAGAATACAAGGCACCTGATCTCAATACTCTCCCGTGGTGGCCCAACATCCTTTGGTGTCTGAATTGCGGTGTGCGGCACCCGTCTGGCTCTACCATCCAGCTTGGTATCGAATATCTTGATCAAGAGCGCCTCGTCCGGGGTCATGTTGCTGGCGTAATACCATTTATGCTGCGGGCTCGCCACCATATGCCATTGCTCGTTGTCCTTATTAATGGTGTTGGGCGGCTTGCCCAGGACGATGCGCGTGGTGACCGGGCGAAGATCAGGCTCTTCGACGCTTCGCGCATCACAGACCGCCAGCGGTTCACGTTGAACCAGCTTCAGTGGATGCCAGACGTTGATAATTCCCCACCGGGTCTTGGTCTTGGTACGAAGCATCTCTGCTTCGGGAAGCCGATCGAGCACCACCTCTGCACCTTTGTATGATTGATCTTTGCGGTGTGAGTGCCGCACTCTAAAACACTCATAGCATTGTGGCACTTACCGACGTGAATGAACATTGCGGGTGGCTGCATGTTCAGGACCTGAGAGTCAGGAAGGTCCTCCGGAATGTTGAGAATCTTCTCATGAGGATCACGACGTATGACATGAGGGGCAAATGGGTGCACGTATGTTGCGCCCGAGCTGCGTGGCTTGTCAGTCAATACCCTTTGTAATTGACATATGGCTGTTCTTACTGTCTCATCAAGAGCTCTTGAACATCCTTCCGAAGCTGGTCAGGGAGACCAAATCTGTAGTCGCCCTCCCAGCCCCTCTCCTGAACAGTGCTCTCGACAACCTTGAAGCCCTGGGTGTCGAGACTGAACTCTTCGTCGCATGTGCGCATGTCTGTAACCGGAACGAGTTGTCGATTATACTTGGTACGCTGAAAGCCCACAGTAGCGATCATTTGAACAGGGAATGCCTCGCCCTTAGGCGGCGGTTGGTGATAGTTGACATAAGCCTCAACGGACTCCGGCTTCTGAGTGGAGTGGGGCATATTTGCAAAAGGCAACGATGGCTTGCTACAACGAGTTCAAAGCTGGATGTTCTGAGATGAGCAGTGAATCGCTAGCCGCGGACTCAGTGGGAAGTTGAGAGTGGATAGCGGGACTGTCAGTCTTGCATTTAATGAGTCCACGACTCCCTTCAGCCGGGAAATGAACATGAGCAACACGCAGAGCCAAACTTTACACCGGACCTGAATCCCGCAAGCAGTATTTTGTACGAGGAACTTGCCGACTATCCTCAACTAATCTGAGGGGAGTACTTAGCCGGCAACAAGGACTATTCAAACAGTATTCGAGGCGCCACTATCCAGTTGACTCTCCAATCAGAATCACTCTCAACACTACCAAGCAGGGCGATCTGCGGATTATTTACGCCATTGCTTTGCCGTTCCCGTTCGTACAAGCAAAGACTTATTTTAGGTACAACTCAAGCCCCGAGAAAACCAAAACGGGCCGGGCCTCGACTCACGCCATCAGTTTAGAGTTCCAAGATGCCGTAGTCAACCATGATTGGCCAGTCTCTCTTCAAATTTGCCTAGTTGGGCAATGCGTCCCCAACTTTTGCCGGTCGGAGAACCTTGCGCGGTTACCATTCGCCGGTAATCCAGTCACCGGTGACCCCAACTGCCGCTCTCACAGCAGGCTCGTCGTTTGTGTTTGGGTGAAAAAGAGTTGGGGAGCTATCCGGCTTGATATCATTGCACAGCTTCACCGCTGACTAAATCATGTATCACCGAAGCTCCTCGCGATCCATCTGTTCTTCCGGTTATGTTTTCCTAGTGAATTGATAAACATAAGATCGATCTAGTGCCAATTATCTGATGTTCAGTCCATTTAGGGAGCCAGGGCTCCTAAAAACACTTTGTTAACTCCCGTACCCGGCCATGTGCTATGGTTATGTCGGGGTCAACTAGGGCCACAATTGGCCTACAATTCCCGGCATTAATGCTGAGAAAATAACTCTAGATAGTCCTGTTGCCGCGCATCCCGAGGGAATGGTAACTCGAGAACGAGTCAAACAGAATATGCAAAGAAATAAAGCAACCCGACTATCTTGGTCATGGTGCACATCCCCCGAGTCAAAGATCTCTCTTCGTTGACAAAGACTTCTTTCCGCTGCAGCTCAATCCGTCAAGATACATATTGTCAAGATCTTGTCACACAAAACACACGACGTCCCAGCTCTTCTAGCCAAACTTCGCAGCCGCCAAGCACACGTCGTCCAATCTCTTCTAGTCAAGTTTCGCAAACGCAAAACAACCAAGACACACCCCCGGAAGAAGGTCAAGAAACATACTTCAACATGCCTTACATCCCGAACCTGCCTCAAATCCCCAACCGCTACGCTGCGGCCCATGCCAACCCCCAGGGTGAAGGTGATGCTCGCCCGACTGCACTCCAGATCATTGAAGATGAGGGTCTGATTGGCAAGCTGGATGACAAAGTGGCGTTGGTGACGGGCGGCACCAATGGTATTGGCCTCGAGATTGTTCGGCATCTAGCCAAGACCGGTATGAAGGTGTTCTTCACCTCGCGTAACCTCGCAAAGGGTGAAAAGGTCAAGGCTCAGCTGCAAAGTGAAGATGCCAGCCTTAGACTAGAGGTCGTGGAAATGGAGCTCAGTAGCTTGAAGAGCGTTAAGAAAGGCGCAGAGCATGTTCTCGATAGCGCGGTGCGATTGGACGTTCTCGTCAATAACGCAGGTTAGTGGTGCCGCCATTTTTTCACTCAAGTAGCACTGTAATTCGTCGCTAACTCGAACTTTCTTCAAGGCATTGCGGCGACACCACGTGGCTACACGGAAGAAGGATACGAGCAGCAATTTGGTGTGAACTACCTCGCGCACTTTTACCTCTTCCAACTTCTCAAACCTCTTCTCCTGGACACGGCTGCGAACAATAATGTGAACGTGCGTGTGGTCACCACCTCCAGCACATCTCACACGGCTTCGACTGTCCTCCCGGAGAACAATTACGACACGGCTAATCCCAATGGCAAGGGCTACGAGCCTGGCGTATCCTATGCGCACTCTAACACGGCAAAGATCTGGTTCTGCAATGAAGTTGAGCGCCGCTACGGATCTGAGGGGGTTCATGCCATCAGCATCCACCCCGGTGGCTTTGGCAGTGGCTTGATGGAGTCTTCGGACGAGGAGACTCGCAAGATGCTGGAGAAGCTCATCCAAATGCCTCATATCAGGAAAGTGTGGAAGAGTGTCCAGCAAGGTGCTGCTACGAGTGTGTTGGCGTGTGTGGGTAAGCAGTACGATGGCGTTGGCGGGTTCTACATGGAGGACTGCGGTGTTAGTAAGCCCATTCCTGATGATACCAACTGGGCTGGATATGGTTTCAAGTCGTGGGCATTCAACGAGGAGGGAGAGAAGAAGCTGTGGGCTGATTCATTGAAGATGGTTGGATTGGAGGACGAGCTCTAGCTGATTTGAACCCTCTTGGATCCGTCTAGCTCAGGAATCGAACTGACAGATACTCTTTGTTTTCTATACTCCATTGGTTACGCTTATTTTACCGAATACAATATGAGGCTATTGTAGCATCGCCAAGCCCTTCGCCTCACGAAGTGGTGGTAAAAAACAACCTACGGCTCTATAAACTAAGAGATTTGGAGATCCAAGTACTGACTTAGACTGTTTGTCCAAGATGGCTGGGATCTTCTACCAGTTGATTTATTCAAAATCCTTTCCTATTCCTCGTTTCTTACTTAAGTTCTCTTCATGTTGAAAGTTCCAAAAATGTCGTGTTCCTGGTTATGCAAGGTTGGACCATCGAGGGCAGAGGAAACCTCAATTTCCACCTTTTCTCGAGAAGAGATTCGGTAATATTTCTGGATTCGTTTTGAATACCTTCATGTTCCCATTCAATATGATAGAGCAGAGATGATGTCCTCTAGCTGTGGAGATCGCGATCTAGGCATCTTGTTCTTTTGCCTGGATCGAACGGTGGTTGGACATGTGGGTTTCCCGACTACTTATGTTCTCTTGGGAATTACAGATGAGAAAAGTTTACTTGTGGTAACTGAGAGGCATCACTCGGTTCAGTGTCAAGGTAACATCTTCTGTTCAAGGCCTTTCCACAATGGGGCTCTCGTATACTCAATTGGGACAATACGATCGGCGATGAATCATGAGGAATAATGGTTCACCCTGGTCTTCAACATGAGTAGCCAAGCTGATTGGTAGGTTCACTCTGTCAAAACTCTAAAAGTACAGATACTATTCATCCCGGTAGTGGCCAGTGACCATTACAGTCTCAGAAATACACTCATGTGGGCAGCAGGTGGGCGGAACTCGAGGACGCGGTCAACGCCTGGCCCCGGTCCCCGGCAACGCAACCTTGATCATCGGCGAACCCAGTTGTGCTATGAATCGCGATGACAATAGTTCCGCCACGGTCATTGGGATAAAGGCATCCAAATACCAGTAATACTCTTCACCTCGTTCATCTTCAGTTGTGTTTTCGTGTCAATATTAGACATTTGCTCGAAAATTCTCGCTTGAGCGAATCAAACCCTCATCTTTTCCACTCTCCCAGATTGATCAACCAGATCTCAGCCCAATATGTCGCCCCCTGAAAGCCTCGGGGATCCGCTCAAAAAAGAATTGCAGTCCTCCGAAGCCCTAGCGAATGGTTCCTCTCTGGCCAGCAGTATGAAAGGCAGCGACGATTCGACCGGCACGACGGAATCGCTAGAGAAAACAGAGCCCGAGCCCGAGGCAGATGAGCCACCATATCCGACAGGCGTCCAGTTGGGACTCATTGTTTTTGCTCTTTTTTGTTCCGTTTTCATCGTGGCAGTCAGTCAGACCGTACTTGCGACAGCTATCCCGACCATCACGAGCGTCTTCAATAGTTCCGATGACATTGCATGGTACAGCACGGGAGAACAGATCACGGCCGTTGCGTTGCAGCTTCCCTTTGGTCAAGCGTACTCGCTTTTCAACAACAAATGGACGTTCTTGACCTCGGTGGTCATCTACCTCGCTGGTAGCGCGGTTTGTGGCTCTGCACCGACGTCAGTTGCCTTGATCGTTGGTAGAGCCATTCAGGGCGTGGGCATGGCAGGCGTATTCGGCGGCTCATTCATCGTCATTGCTCGCATCACGCCGCTTAGAAAGCGGAGTCTGTTTGCGGGCTTATTCGGTGCTGCATATGCCATTGCCAGTGTCATTGGACCTATCATGGGTACGTTGTTGGTTATCTGTTTCGTGATCTGGAGCCAAGGCTGATATTCTTGTAGGTGGTGCTATTACCCAGAGAGCTTCTTGGAGATGGTGCTTCTACTGTAGGTTTTCTTCACTATCTTCATGCAATGGGTTCAACATCTAACATTTATAGTCAATCTCCCGATCGGAGCTGTAGTAGTCGCCGTCGTCATCTTCTGTTTGCCCCCTTCCCTCTGCCGGACCTCAGCGGAGCTCAGGTCCATGACCCCGATCCAGCTGGCAAAGAAGTTTGACCTTCTTGGTACTACCCTCCTACTGGCTTCTCTGGTCTGTCTGATGTTGACGCTTCAGTGGGGCGGTGGTGAGTACCCGTGGAACGACGCGCGCGTCATCGCAGTCTTGGTTGTGTTCGGGGTCACACTCCTCCCGTGGGTGGCACTACAGTACTTCCAGGGAGACGACGCTACAGTGCCTCTCAGTATCGTGAAACAGCGTTCCGTTGCGTCTTCTAACCTTTACCTGCTCTTCTTGAACGGAGCCTTTGGTGTTTTCATCTTCTACTTGCCTGTTTGGTAAGTGTTGGAAACAATTAGCCATCTAGACGTTATTGCTTACACCAAGGCATATAGGTTCCAATCGATCCGGGGAGATGATGCCGAATCTTCTGGCTTGAAGCAACTAGCACTCTGCATCAGTACAGCCGTCGGCTCAATTGTAGCTGGAGGTCTTGTAATGGCGATTGGATTCTACAATCCATTCGTGATTTTGGGTTCCCTCCTGGTCACAGCCGGTTCTGCGCTCTTAATGACTGTCGAATCTGATGCTGCACTTGGCATACTGTAAGTCTACCACCTACTCTACCGGAGATCCTCCAGATTACTGATAAAGTCTTTCAGTGTTGGCGCTCAGATTCTAGTCGGTGCTGGCGTAGGCGTCGGAGCCGAACAGGCTAACGTGGCCGTTCAGACCGTTCTGCCTAACGAAAAGATTCCCAAGGGCACGAGCCTGACCCTTTTCACGAGACTTTTAGGAGTTGCTTTATCAGTGCCCGTTGCGCAAAGCGTGTTCCAGCAGGAGCTCTCTAAGAACCTTGGCGGAGCCGTTGCTGCCAAGATTTACGGCGATGGCGGAGCAACTCAGATCAAGGACAACCTGCAAAAGATTTTCGGAAATGGGACCACTGAGTATCAAAATGCATTGGACAAGGTCAACACTTCCTTAACGAGAACTTTCATGCTGGCCATGATCCTAGCCGCCATATCATTCCTCTTTGCAACCCTCTTGGAGTGGAAGAACGTCAAAAAGGAAAAGAGATCGTTTGATGATGCAAAGGAACAGAAAAGTCAGGCTGAGAAGTAAGCGAGCGAAAGAAGCCGAAAATAAATGGGTTTTGGTGTATATTAGTACCAGAAAGCCGTTTTCGCCAGCGCCGTTGGATGTAGATAGAGACAATTTACCAACAATACAAATACCAAGAACTGATGAAACTTCGCATATGAGCTGGCTTTGGCTTTGGAAATATTTAATACCCCAGCAAGCATTTACATGTTGCATACTATCGCAGAAGTATTCAAGGGGGGGGGGGGTAAGGTCAAGCTATTTATCTGGCAAGTGAGGTCACTAGCGACCCCAAACTCGCCATTCAACTCGATCACAGACCATTCCGTAGGACTTACAAGTTGCCTAGTAGTTTGAATTACATCAACACTAGGTGTCAGATATCAGAATGACTTTAAACGTTGAATGAGACGAGCTCGTCACTACGAAACCCATGACTTCACCATCAGCAAGTCAGGTGTTACCTCAACTAGGAACTCAAACGCTTTATCATAAACCTTCGTGGGAATCATACTCTACAATCATTCTGAAGCTATTTTGCTAAGTCTTCAGTCTCATGGGACTGTTGCTACAGGCCCAGAGGATTTCGTTGGCTGGGATAAAATTCCGCTATACTCCGAGCGACTTCTCAATCGCCGTTTCCCCCTTAGAAGAAGTGAGCACAAATGTTTCACGGCCAAATTCTAAGACAGTCACAATGATGTTTCGGACTACTTTCGGTTGCGACTTTGTTCCAAGAGTCGCAAAGCTCGATTAGGAAAGCGGAGATATCCCAGTGGCTCAGTTGTAGACCGGGAATTGAGGTTGAGCTCGGGTCGGGGAATCGGGGTCGACACCGCGAACCACCGGCAAATCGACAGCAGAACCCGAGAAAACACATTGGATGGCAGAACTCATCCCAAGTGAATCGGACTTGGCACCGGGCCTTGGCGAGGATCGGTATTCTCCTAGTCCATCGATTTGTGTATGATTCAGCGATAATGGCCAGGAGCTCGTAGAAACGGCATCTCGGCACTGTAGCCAGACAAAGCATGCGCCCGTTTTGGTCCAGTTCTATGAAAGACATTGAATGCCCAAAATACGGACTTGTGTTTGTCCAAAAACTAAACCGAGACCGATTCCGAACTTTTGAACACATTCTTTTCGACGCAATAGGTATAGTTGAGGATAGCTTCTTGGCCAATCGAGACTGCGTACGTTGCTACATTCGTTGATAGTGACCCAGTCCATGAGGATGCCTTCACTTCCGGGCCTTTCGGCCGTTGTTCTGGCTGCCACAGGTATGGCTGGCGGTGTGATTGCGGAAGAAGTGGGCATTGCAGGACATGGACTCATTGGCTATGGTATCACCATGTACCAGGTTAGTTGTTATATTCAACATCGTGGAATCTCGTGGACTAATTCCCTCTCGAGCCTCTGTGTGCGTACTCGTGTCGTGTGGCACTTTCAGCCAGTCCGCTTAATTGCAGCAACGTGATGGAGATTCACGGCATGATCATGGCCGACACGTCTCCGGAATGCTATGCCAACGACAATGTCTTCCTTACTTCTTTCGCATGGTGCATTCATACGGTCAGTTCGGTGCTCCGCATAAGCCGAAACCGAAAGCTGACTAGCGTTTTCTCACAGAGATGTACTGATCTCTCGATATGGGAGATCGAAAAGTACTGGCAATCGACAGAAGCTAGCATCCGGAATAGCCATAGGAGACTTGATGAACCGGGCGTTAATGTCAACGCGTACCCCCCCGCGCCGAAGTGGACCTACCAGGAGGCATTTAGCAATGTGAACGGGACTCCCACAGCCACTGTGGTGTTCGCGATGCCATTGAAGGAAAAGTCCCTGGTGTCAGATGCCGACTACCAAGTACAGTACAACACCATGGGGATGTTTGAGAAGATGGAGGTTGCCCACGAGAGATACGGGTAAGTCTTGTTTTGTATGTTCCAAGATGAAGTCTTGCTAACCTTGTCGAAGTCTCGTCCTAATCGCGCTCGGTGCGGCAGTCCCAATTTTCTTCTCGTGGCTTCGATTCATCCCGCTGCCAAAGTTGGTTATCTCAAAGATCCACGCTGTCTTCATCGACCCACCGTTGTTCGGCCGGAGGCACAAGGCTCCTTATTTCAACCTGCTTATCATGCCTACACGTGGTCAGGCAATATTGGTCTTCTACATGGTAGCAGTCAATGTCGTTCTCAGTGGTGTAGGCTACGACTCGGCCCAGCCCAACGCCTGGTGGGTCAACGACAAGGACCAGGAGCTCTTGACGTCCTTTAGCAATCGCATGGGTGTCTTGAGCTTTGCGAACTTACCGCTGCTCATCCTCTACGCCGGGAGAAACAACTTCTTGTACTGGGTGACTGACTGGACCCAGTCCACTTTCATGCTCTTGCATCGGTGGACGGCATACTTTTGTACTCTCCAGGCTTGCCTCCACTCGGCAGCTTGGCTTCAAATCTACGTCAGCATGGGCCAGCACGATATCGAAGCCAAGCTGCCCTACTGGGTCTGGGGCATCATCGGCACGCTGGCAATGAGTATTTTACTGCCGGCTTCGGTTATCCCTTTCCGCGCTAAGCTCTACGAGCTCTTCTTAGCTGTTCACATCGTCCTTGCTGTCTTTGCGGTGGTCGGGTCCTACCTCCACATTGTCTACAGATTCCAAAACCAGTGGGGTTATGAGATCTGGATGTACATCTGCTTCGCCGTTTGGGGGTTCGACCGAGTAGCGAGAGTAATCCGGATGGCGAGGAACGGTCTGATGTGGGCTGACATCACCATCATCGACGAGGAATACATGCAGCTGGACATTGACGGTGCGGTCGGCAGCGGACACGCCTACCTTTACTTCCCAACACTTACATGGCGACCTTGGGAGAGCCACCCGTTCTCCATTTTGGCTTCCAGAGTGAAGCCTGCTCCAGCAAAGTCGATGAACAGTATCATGCCAACTCAGAGTTCGGTTAACTCCTACTCAAAGGAGTCGAGTGTCATGGAGGTGGCTGCTGTCAAGGAGAAGTCCCGTGTCGGGCTCTCATTCCTCGTTAGATCCTTCACGGGGGCAACAGAACTGCTTCGCTCACGCACTCGGGTGCCAGTCTTTGTCGAAGCAGGGTACCTTCCACACCATGACCTCAGCAAGTATCAGAAACTTGTCTGCATCATAGGAGGCGTTGCCATCACAGCTGTAGCCCCAGTCCTGCAGACTTATCCCGGGAATGCGAAGCTCTACTGGTCTTCACGAACCGAAGGGCTCGTTCAAAGTGTTGATCTCAACGGCATCGACGCAAACGTCTCT